GTTCAGACGTGTGCTCTTCCGATCTTAAAAATACATTTGTATCCTACAAATTCGTGTATATGTATGCGTGAGATATATTGATGTGGTAATAAACATGACACATCACTATACACTACTACATCAATATCGCACGCATACATACTCACAAATTGTCGGTAAAACAGCGGATTTTTGGAGTTTGATCTAGGGTTTAGGATCCTCTTAAGTGGCTATATAGACTATCATCCATCCACGCACAAGTTTTTCTACATCCAATGATCCACCAGCAATGACGCAGATATTATATCCCGCGATAGTTACGCAATCGGCCAACGCGAACAGGCAAATTAGACGTAATGAGCGAATACTCACAGAACACAGTTCGGTCCATGATGTAGGCGTCGCTGAGGCCGACCTTGACGGGATGCAGGGTGTCCGCGATTTTCTCGACCAGGACGGGTATCACCGAGTAGACGAACACGATGTCGCCGTTTTTATGCAGGGTCACTTGGAAAGTGAACGCGCCGGCTTTCGGCCTGTCCTGCAGCACCACCTTTTCCCACTCGACCGTAAACGCCGTGCCTGTGTGTTGTGCAAATCAAAAAGGCGAATATAACGAATCTCACGCTGTGCGAAATCCGTCGGCCAACCGGTGGCTATAATACCGTTTTGCCTTGTGTTTCTTTGCCACCGGTGGTTGACGAGGCGTGTAATTACGATCGGCACAAATCGTCGCGCCGATTTATTCCATCCTCTTTCACCCTCCGCCTTCCGAAGAGGTTGACTGATTGACCACCGACGCGAACGCTTTGCGACACGATCGATCCGGCGAGGAGAAAGGATTTAGAAAATCAGCTCGAAAGCGAAGTTCGAGAATCATTCTCGATGAATGTTTTGTAAAGCACGCGGAATTACTAAGGGGAGAACCCGCTCATTGTGATAGGATTTCTTTAACGCAAATTATTTGAAATATATTAGCTACGGCAAACGCCGCGAACACGCAAGACCCTCTCAAGATCTGATCGCGATGGGCCTCCGATTGGCAAACGATTGATTGTTGTTCGAAGGAAAAACGTAAGAAACGAATTCGTTTCTTCAGGTGGCGAGAAAATGCCGTCCACTTGAGATTCCGATAACTCACCATTGTCAGCGTACTTGACGTAGCTGGTGTTCGACAGGCGGGTATCGAAATTCGCCATGAGCGGTGCGATGTACTGGGTGGCGGCCAGCCAGCTGTGCACGTAGTCGCCGGTGTATAGAAAACCGCCGGTAGCGATCGTGATATTGCGCACGTTATAGCCGTAGAATGGAAAATCAAACTTCAGCTTGACGGTCTGCAACAGCGCAGAAGTCGGGCTCAATTCTGAAACTTAGTTTTCAGCGGGATTAACAGGATCTTGCGTTTTTACGCGTACAACTTCTAATTAATATTTCGCTGCAACAGGAACATCCTAAATGTAAATACTAACATATACGTCAAATCTGTATTTATACACTAACTAGTGTGTCCGATGAATACATCCAATATTCGAATAAATAAATAAATAATCGAATAAATAATCAGAGCTGGGCATATTTCAAATACTTGTATTTGAAATATTATATTTCAAATACAATTTGTATTTTGTATTTCAAAAGAATTATTCGATGTATTTTGTATCTCAAATACAATTTAAATCTATTTTGTATTTGAAATACTAAAGAAATTATTGATAAGAATTCTTGACAACAATTAATAGTAATAAATTACTTTAATTAATAAGTTATTTTAATTATATGATAATTAGCGACAAGAATTTTCATCAAATTCCAAGCAATATCAAGTAATCAGAGTCAAATTTCATAATCTCACATTAGTAAATAGATTTCTCGTGCGGTTGACAGGACAATAGGACTCTTAAAGAGTGTAAGAAAGTGAAACAACTTTTCTTTCTCTCTCTAAAAGTGGAGAGACGACTGTTGGAGGGGGGAGTTTAACATTATACATTATTGTAATTGAAAGATTAAATTAAAAAGTATTTTGTATTTCAAAGAAGTATTTAGTATTTCAAATAAAAGCTTAAAAGTATTTTGTATTTTGTATTTCAAATCAAAAGATTAAAAGTATTTTGTATTTTGTATTTCAAATCGAAAGATTTAAAGTATTTTATATTTTGTAACTCAAATACTAAGATTGCCAGTATTTTTTATTTTGTATTTTAAATACTTTAATGATGTATTTTGCACGGCCCTGTAAATAATGAATATGAATACAAGTACAAATACTATTTTTTTTTATATTCATGGAAAATTGAATAATTACTTTTTATGCGATTTAAATGAATATATTTGTAAATATGATTACGAATATTTTCGAATTCGCATTCACTCCCACTCTACGCACTAAAATTCTGCCTTCGAGCTTAGTTTAAGTTTAAGAAACACGATGATACCGAGGAGAAAATGAGAGCTATTGTCAATGCTTTTATTGGGGATTTTGAGGAATCTATTAATTAAATCTGTTAATTAAACAATTATTTAATTAAACAACATTTTATTTAGCATCCACGAGATTCTAAAGTACTTAAAATACCTTATGGAATTAACATTACTGTTATTGTAATTTGTACAAAATTGCAGTGTTCGATTTTACTGTATCTTTCTGATTTGCAAGAATATAGAGAATAAAAATTATATTATCATAAAAAGAATTATTGTTACGAATAAAAGACTTTTAAATAAAAAATTTGTTTTCTAAAATCTTTTTCAAAATCTGTAAGTTTTCTTTATCAAATTGGATATTAATAACGATATATAAAATTTATTTTTCACTTTCCTTTTTACTTTACATTTTGTATGAATAAATATGAACAAATCATAAAATAATGATAAAATATTCACGAATAAATATTTTTAAAAGTCCACAAGTTTGAATAAATATTTGAATGAAAGTTTTCTTAATGTAAAAATTTTGAATGAATATAAATTGTAGCCCAATTACGAATTTTTTTTGTATTCATCGGACACACTAACCGCTTTTTCCTCCGATTATTATGTATAAAGTTGAAAAAATATCGATACACACGCATAATGTCGGATACTTTCTATATCCTTTTCAATTTCTCATAACATTCGCTGTAATGCGAAATAATGACAAGAAGCGAGTCTCTCACCGCGGCGCGCCGATGGCTCTGGCTAAGCAGATGATTGACCCTGAGATCCGGGTGATTGTCCATGTCGACCCAGTATTTTTTACAGATATCGGCATCGACAATAAACGTGCTGTTGTAATAGTGATGATGATCGTAGACCGTCTTGGTAATGTTGTTCTGCGTGAGCGTGCTGTTGGTCACGTCGGAGAACTTGCTGATCGAAATGTCGCCGATATCGTCCGGTTTCGTGGCGTCCTCCGTCGTGTCCTTCACCGGCGACGGTTCCGGCGGCTGCTGCTCCTTGGGGATGCCGGTGATATTGCGATTTGACAGGGTGCGATTCGCCCATACATGTAGCGTTGCCTGCGAACAGATTTTCAAACGGATGCAGAATTGTTAAATAAACAAACTCTATATGAAAATGACGACTGAAGAAAGAGTTTTTGACTAAAAAAAAGGTTTCTGTTGGAACTCTCGATTTGGGGACTGGACTGTGTGTGCCAAACGATACCTTAAAATGAGACGTTAATCACAGAGAAGTTTCAGATTGAGATGACAATTGTTATCACAGCTGAAGGGGAATCGCTTATATTACATCTTTTTACGCGAAAACTCGATGTTTTTACATCCAAAACGAGCGTCATTTACGTAAAACTGCGATCAACCTTCATCGGCAGGATCAGCCTTCTTAAAATACCGGACCTCGCAGACCTATGATAATTCCATAATGAACTTTGATTTCAT